GGCAGACTGCCTGGCGTGGCACCTGATTTCTCTCTGACCCCACCCTCCTCCGCTTGGCAGCTTCCTCACTTCAGCCCTTGGGGGCACTGGGGGATCAGATAAACTTTATCCCATAAGGGATTCCCACCAGCCACATCCCAAGGGATTTCATCACACACAGAATTCCAGTTTGTCAGCCACTGGGGTGGGGTTGGTGGGGAAGGAGCTGGTGGTCCAGGAACGGACTAGGTGCCTTCGCTTTCCCAGGGCTACCCCCCTGAACCTCATTCCATCCTGGAATCAAGAGACTGGGCGACTGAGCGGGGCTGAGGGGGCGGTGCATGCAGCTGGAGGCAGATCCCAGACAAAGATCCCAAGATCCCCACGCCCTAGGGACAAGTGCACGGTGCTTGCACACAGACACGATGGGGCCCTTGGACAAAAGCAAACTGTACTGCTGGGAGCTGAACCCCGCGCTGGGAGCTTGGCAAACGGGCTTTCTAATGCCCACAGCACCCCACGGTACATGTGTAGAAACGGAGGCAGGCTCAGGAAGGCAGGTTAGGGGTACAGGCGTCTAGCAGGGGTAGAAGAGCGCCACTCGCTGTCTTGAGTTATCATAATGGAGGTCAAAGGAGTGAAAGATCACAACACGATTAAAAGGGCCTGGGGCGTCCCAGGTCACGGTTGCTGGGGGACCGTGCATAGGCTGCTTTGCTCTCTGGACCACAGTTTACTCAGCCAGGTAATGAGATTCCCCACTCCGAGCTGCCTAAGTTAGAGGCTAAAGTGCGGTGCGGGAGGAGAGAGGGCCTTGCAGAGTATCTGAAGGGAAGAGGGCTTGATGTCCCCGGTGCTCTGCATCATCAGCTTCCTCCTCCCTCCCTCCCTCCCGCCTGCTCTGAACCGGCTCAGCCCCCAGACCCCAGACCCACATTGCAGGCTGTAGCTGAGAACAGCGGCCTGTGGACTTGCCTGGGTTCAGATCCCTGTCCTGTCATCCACTGGCTGGTCTCTTCCCTCTCTGGGCCTCGCTTTCCCCATCATGCCATTGCCCACCTCCCAGGTTGTAACGACAAAAATTAAATGACTCCCTGGAGGAGGAGCGTCAGCTCTGAATGATCCCCTCCCTCCTCACTTGGGGAGATCCAAATTCCCAGAGGCAGGACCCCTGCCCTCAGAGCTGGAGGGCCAGGGGTGAGCTCGCCGCAGAGCTGTCACCCAGTCCGACCAGGTCACTGGTGCAGGGGCAGAGACAGTGCTGGTGAATCCAGTGGGGTTGGGAGAAAGGCCATAGCAAGGGGCCCATCTGGACCTGAGACCAAGGAGACTTGGGGAACGTGCTTAAGGGCATGTAGAGAGCACCCCCAAGGCCAGGATGTGGAGTGAGACTCTATTTGTCCAGCAGTGGGGAGCCACGGCTAGTTCTTGAGTGGGGGAAGGAAAGGCTAGGATGCGCTCCTCTGACTTTGGGAAGCCTGGGAAGTGGGAAAACCACGGAGGAAGGCTTCATGTTTACACCTCTTTAGGCTACCTCCTGCGGAAGGGCGGGGGGTGGGGTGGGGGGGTGGTGTCTGAGCACCATGGAGACAGCCCTCAATGCAGCTGGGTCTGTGCAGTTGGAGGAGAGCTGGGAGGCTTTCCAGGGAGCCCCGCTCCATGGGGAGGAGTCCGCCTGGGGCCTGGGAGGAAGCTGGCATCTCGCAACCCTGCAATTAGTAGGCAGAGGAGCTGGGTGGTGGTTGGGTGGGGGGCTGAGAGCTGCAGCTGGTTCATGGGTGCCGCCTCTGCCTCCAATATCCCCCTCACTGCCCCAGAAGGGTGCCCAGGGTGGCTGGCAGGCCCCAGGCAGACAGGGCACTGGGTTCTTGGGAGGGAATGCAGAGCAGAGGAAAAGCCAGAAAAATAACACTAACTGTAAAGTCATATTACTGGGTGTGGGTCTGGACAACCCAGTTGCTATTGTGCTCATTTTACAGATTGGGGAATGAAAGCCCAAAGAGGGACAGGGGCTTGCCAAGAGACACAGCCGCACCTCCCCCACACCCCCAATCTGAAAGAGCTGGGGCTAGATGCCACGTTGATCTGGATCTGGAGGGCTGGGGTGCAGGGTCACTCCTGGGCCCAAACTTCCATGCAGGTAACCCTAGAGACTGCCTCCCACCCCCCTAGAGTCAGGCTGGCAACATGACCTCTGCCGGAGGGAGAGCAAGGGGCGGCCGACCCCAGGGCCCCCACCCCATCCCTGCAGGGGGAGGAGGGGCAGTCTGGCCCAGCCGGTTCTCTAGCCTGCCCTGGCACTCCAGGCCCTGCCCCTGTGCTGCTGGGGCTTTTGATACTGGACCATCTGCCCGGGAGACTTCTTATCTGAGCAGCACACGGACCCATCCAGGACCGGTCCTGCAGTGCACTGCGGCGGGGCTGGAGTTGGGGGGGACGGCGCGGTTCTGGCTTCAGCCTTCTAGCATACCATCCGTCTTCCTTCCCTCCCTCCCCTCCCCTCTTTCAAAGATGCCCACTAAGCCCAGGCTACCTTGCCGGCTGCTGGCAGGATTCTCTGGCCTCCAGGAGCATCTGGTGGGACGGCAGAAGCAGACAAGTACACAGCCCGCTACCACTCTTCGAATGAACCAAGTAGGCTCAGCTTGGAAGGGCTGGTGGGACTTTGATGGGGGAGGGGCGATTCTGGTGGCCTCGGGGAGCTCAACGGGACTGGAGCTGCAGGGTCTTGGGCCAAGTGGAGGGTGGTCGGGCCGCAGCGGAGGGCAGGGGCCGTACCATGTGGGGCCTTGCCTTGGAGGGGTGGGGTGTGGGAGCCGTGATCAGGAGCTCGGGCTCTGGCCTCCGATCCATCTGACCTGGAACGCCAGCATCCTCACCGATGAGCTTTGTGGCCTTGGGCTAGTTACTTGCTCCCTCTGAGGCTCTGCATCCTTGATCAAAAGAGGGAAGACACAGTAGTGCCAGCCTCAAAGGGTGTGAGGCACGTGGTGTGGCTCCGTAAGTGTTAACTGTTCTTGGCAGCCGCCCCTGCGTGCACGAGCTCTGAGCCCACGGCCGACCCGTGGGCCCAGCCCCCCAGAGCTCACGCTGACTTCGGGCCAGTGGAAGAAGGCTCACATGGCCTCCGGGGGGCCACGTATAAATAAGGCGCATGCAGAGTAAGGCTGCAGGGAGTGGTGGGGACTGTGGCCCCCCGAGGTGCCTGTGCCCCGCTCCGGGCAGCACCCGCTTCCCTGCCCGGGGGCCACGACCCCACGGGAGTGTGAACCCAGCGTGGGCCGACGTGCTGACTCCTCATGAGAAGGAAACCTGCATTTTTCTGAGAAACTCCCCATTACTAAACTAGCATGCACGTAATATCGTTTTTAAAGCATCTCGGGAGCCAAAGCTGACGCTTCTGTTGGCAGAGGCTGCCCCCGTGAACAAAGGGATGCAAGAGAGGCAGCGCATTCCAGGCCTGGAGAATCTTCCAGCCCTGTGGTCTGTGGCTGTGTCTCCCCTCCCGAGACTAGTTCTCCTCTGGACAGTGAGGTGGGAGGCCAGACCCTCTGCTCGCTGACATTCTCTGGAGCGGCCCTGCCCGCACACAGCGGCGGGAACGGGGCCCCTGCTCAGCACTCTGGCCGGAGGTGCCAGGCAGTCTGGGGGAGCCCGCTGCGCCAGCGGATCTGCTCTGTGTCTGGGAATGGCAGGTCCGCCTGGGGCCTGGGGAGGCGGCCCTCAGGGCTGTTGTCAGTGAGGGCCTGGCTCCTGGGGGGGTCAAAGGGCAGCAGTTCAGCCTCTTCTGGGGCCAACTTCCTGTTTGGGAGAGAAAACAGAAAGACCCCTGGCAGGAAATGGCCCTCTTCCCACAACTTTTTTTTTTTTTTTCCTGCGGGCCCTGGCTTGTGTGGAAAGACCCATGGTGGATGGCTCCCCATGGCCGGGGGTGGCCCACTCTTTCCTTTCCCCTCAGAGCCCAGGAGGGAACCTGGGGCCTCTCTGCCACGACAGCAAACCCCACCTCACCAGTTTCATCCCTGGTTTAGGCGTGGCAACAGCTGAACCGTTCTGTGCCCGGATGTACCACCTGCTGGACTCTGGCACCCTCTGCATCCCAGCACTGTGTCCTTAGGGGCCCCTCAGACAGCCACAAGAGAGAAAGCCATTGAGTGAGCTCCCCTCCACAGGCACAGAGCCTCAGCGGCTCCTTGCACACCTCTTGAGCACAGGGAGCTCACCTCTTCCGCCGGCTAAAACCATGCTGACAGAGCCTCTTTCTGCAGAAAGCAGGCCTGCTGCCGAGAATTCATCTAGAGCATCTCATTAAGGGCAGGTGTCTCAATGCCACCTCGACCTGCAGATGCGAAAACGTACGCTATTGTGTTCTGAATAACAGTTTCCACTGGATTTAATATAAATCTGCTGGTTATAGAGGGTTTAGAAATTAAGCAGCAAAAATAAAATTAAAATTACCTGCAATTTCATTACCTAGAGCAGAGCTGGGGGAAAGATAAAAGGATTTATTATTTACTTTGTTTATGCCTACCTCTGATCGCCTGAACTTCATCCCTTGTGACAGAGCCCATCTGGCAAATACCTCCTCTCCTAGGCATACGTTCAAGCATTTCAATAATAACTAACCTTTACTGAGTTCCAGATGAACTCAGCTTATTCTCATGATAGCTGTAGGAGATGCCTCAATTTAGAGATGGAGAAACTGAGGCTTAGAGAGGTCAAGTCACTTCCCCATGGTTGCACAGCCAGTAAGGGGCAGCAGCAGAGATTTGAATTCATCCAGTGCAGAACTGCAGCCTCCTCTCCTCCAGATTAGACACACACCATACCTTTTCCTTCCCCTCACAGAAGCCGGATTCCAGACCACTGAGCAGCTCAGGTGTTCATCCATTCGTTCTTTCTCACATTCGTTCATTTAGCAAGTCACTTGACATTCCAGAACTCAGGTTGGGTGCCAGACGCAGGCTGATGCTGTCCCCTACACCACCTGCCCATATCTGCCACACTCTCAAGGACTCTGCCCCGAGAACCCAAACTCCATTTATTACAAAAGACTGGGTTTATCACATTGTACTGTAAACAGCTCCACCTGACCCCCAAGGTCCAGAGAGGCAGCCTGGGTCCCGCACAGTCCCCTTTGACATCCCCCTCGCCCCTGCACGAAGGTCCTGGGTGGATGGGGGTGCTGAGACTGGGCTTTGGAGTGGTCCTGTGTTTATAAGACCAAATGGGTCCAAGGATCCCGTGCACATATATAAAATATACACATATAATGTATACATAGGCCATGGCTTCCCTTCCACAGGGTGTTGCTGGGGTGGGGCCACCGGCGCCCACCCTGGCAGAGGCAGGGAGCACAGGCAGCTTCGTCGGTCCGAGCAGCCGGTCAGCCCGGGCACCCAGGGGCCTGCGACCACAGGCCAGTCCTGTCCGGCCCTGGGAGCTCTAGGCCACCTGGATCTGCAGGTCCTCGTCCTCATCCAGGTCGCTGGCTCCGTCCCCGGCCTCCTCGGCGCCGAAGCGAGCGCTTCGGATCTTCCCGAAGAGGGGGGCATTCTGCTGCTGCCTGCGGAGCCTGTGGGGCCGGGTGACAGGAGGGTCGGGGGCAGTCAGTTGATCACTGGTGCTGCAAGCAGCTCAGCCCTTCCCTAGCATGTCCCTGCTGCCAGGCGCCAGCTGGGGCCCTTCCCCTCCAGTACCTGATGTCACAGCATCCTCCCAGAGGCTGTTAAGATGTCGGGGTTGTTACTGTCACCCTCGTTTGACAGACAAGGAAACTGAGGCACAGAGCAGTCAAGTGATTTGTCCATCCCCCCAGACAGCAGGGAGTGAGGCTGGGCTCTGCCGTGGGCTGGGGCCGGAGAGGTGAAGCAGCCGCTTGAGGTCACCCTGCTAGGACTCGAACCCACGCCAGGCTCCAAAGACCACAGAGAGAGAGTTTGGGGGTGGGGGGCCTGAGGTCCCCTATCCCCCCCCCCCAGCCATGGAAGTGAGAAAGGGCTCTGCCCTAGTTCTTCCCCACACTGAGATTCCTAAAGCCCAAATTTACGAGGGCTGCTGGAGGAAATGCCCATCCCCCAGCAGAGTGGCCGCCTTGGCTCCATCTTACTGGAAGGCATGAATTATTTACATGGCAGGGAGGGGGCCAGGCGGGGGCCTCCATTACTGGGCCGTGATTTAGTGAGCTGTCCCCGGAACATTAAAGCACAAAAAGTTGGAAAATAAAACGAGGCGGCGGTCCTGGGCAGCCCTGGCCTCCCCCCGTTGGAAGGACTCGGGAGGTACAGCCTGCCTGCCCATTTTGGAATGAATGTGGCCGAAGGACGTGGCCAACTCTGCAGTAAAGCCCGGGGCTCAGCGGCCTCTGAGGGCTGTCCCCTGAGGGGTGTGTGTGTGTGTGTGTGTGTGTGTGTGTGTGCGCGCGTGCAGAGTGGGCAGCGCTGGTTAGACACGGAGTCTGACCTGCACTCACGCCTGGGCCCCCATGCAGCATTTTATGGGCATCATCCCAGGCAGATGGGGAAACTGAGGCCAGGTTGGCCATGTCACACAGCTGTTAGGCCTGGCTCCACGGCCTGTATTCCCAGCCACAGAAACTCAGCACACGGCAGTGCACAGCATATGCTCCGGAAATTGGGGTGCTGGTGGCCGGGGGGCGCGATCCAGCCGGACCACCCGCCAGATGTGTGGCCGTGGAGACCCTCACCCTCTTAAGGCCTTACTTTCCTTGTCTGCCAGCTTCCTAGAAAAAAATAGCTTCCACTTCCCTTCTCTCATGGGAGAGGGATTCTTGGTGGGACCCAAATGTAAGTCCCCCCCTGCCCCACAGCCCCCAGCTGCTCCCCAGGGGGGAAGTAGCAACAGCACTTATGACATGCCCCATGCTTTTACAAGCACTGAATTCTCACAATAAGAGGCAAGACCTGTATCATCCCCATTTTACAGATGAGGAAATGGACACAGAGAGATCAAGCGAGTGGCCCCAGACCACACAGACCACTTCCACAGCTCCTCAGTGCAGATTCCCACCCACCGGGGGAGTCTGGCTGCAGAGCCCGCGTTGCTCTATTCTCTGACATCAGAGGACGCGAGTCTGAGGGCCTGGCACGGGCCTGGCACAGGAAGTCAGCACAGTGGTCCTGACGCCCCTGGCTGGTGGGGCGCGTGTGGAATAAGGAGGGCCTTGGACTTGGCTCTCTGTCACCTCATGGGCCTAGGGAGAGTGCAGGGAGAGGGGGTACCGCAGAGTATTGGGATGGGGTGGTCAGGGGAGGGGGAGAGAGTGTGCTGGGTGGGTCCCCCAGAGACCCTGCGGTCCTCCCTCACGAAGGCTGCAGCTGATGGATTGGGCCTACCATCAGGGCTGGGGCTCCCCCGCGCATGCCTGCCTTCCCATTGCTCAGATCCCAGCTGGCCCAGGGACCCTGGGGGCTGCTTATTCTCCCTGTCCATGACTCCCCAGACCCTTTGGCCCCGCCCACTGCCCCACCTTGGACCTGCCCTCTTTGGCCCCCCTTCCTTCCCTCTCACCACCCTCCCACCGGCCAGCCAGCCAGTTACACACAGATGATTCCAGGGCTCTCAGCTGGTCTCACTTCCTGCACTCCCCTTCCCTGGTTTCCTGGCCTTGGCCCTTCCTGCCTGGATGGGACAGGGTTCTGGCCCCAGGGGTCCCGGATCTCTTCCTTCAATGCCTTCCCCGCTAGCCTGGGCTGGGGCTCCAACCTTGACCGGGAGGAAGTCTCTCCCTGCCCTGCTTCTGTGTCCGGCCAGGGGGTCCTCCCCACCAGGGCGGCACGCCCACCTGGACTGCAGATGCTCCAGCTGCACTTGTAGGTTCTCGCTCAGTTCTGTCTGCTCGTCCAGCGACCGCTGCAGCTTCCGTGCCTGGTTGTGGGCCTCGTCCAGCTGGTGGGGGGGCAGGGCCAAGAGCGTGACGGTCACCTTGGGTCAGCCTGGCCGTCTACCCAGGACCAGCCCCTCCCGCCATTCCTCTGCCTTTCCCAAGAGCAGTCCCTGTCTGTTCTTTGAGGCCCAGACCAAGGCCCACCTCCTCCAAGGAAGCATGCCATTGCCCCTCACCATTCCTGCTGCCCCTGCCTTCCAAATCTACACATCTTCGGACACCCCAAGCCACTGATCCAGCCATCAACCTGCCTGCCCGTCTCTCCCCATGGGTCTGTTCATCTGACCACTCATCTGTGGAATGACGTCTGCCCATGGAGATGCCTACCTACCTACTCACCACTGCTTATTCTACTCAGCTACCCATTCACCCCATCTATCTGCTTCCACTCTCCCAGACACACCTATCATCCCATCTGTCCATCCTTCTGTCCTTCTCCCTGTCCATTCATCCTTCTACCCGCTGATCCAGTTTAGTTATCTAGCCATCTTTCCACTGTCCACACAGTCCTCTATTTTCCTGTACATCTGTATACTCATCTGTCATTCATCCACCCACCCACCCACCCATCCAGTCACCTACCCATCCACCTACCCATTCACCCATCCA